AGCACCCTTATTATCTACAAACGGAGCATAAATATGCATAAATCTGCAGCATTTTGCATTGGCTTACATTGGTTGGTTTGCCCTGTGTTTTGGTTGGCTGACCACTGTAGTTGGATTTGATCGACAAGTGTGCTGTATCAAACCCAAAAGAGAAACCTCGTTAGAGAAAGCGTAATATTATATCGGGCACCTTCATAGCCTACTTACTGAGAGACACTTTATCTTTTATCCAAGGAACTCAGGCTCCTCAGTTTCAATGAACTTGCATCACCTTCCAATGGAGACAACCTAGTAAGCGACCCGCGCGTTTGACAAGATTTAGTTTTAGTTTGCAGTTATCCTAAGAAGGCCAGAAGAAGCCCCAATAATGAATTACATTTCCTACAAATTCTTATGACTTTTCTAGGTAGTCAGTAGGTGTTGAAGTTTAGACAGAGGATTTCACATAGCAAGTGCAAAGCCCCGAGGCAGTACGAGTTGTTCCATCCAGTTGAAAATCAGAGAGATTCGGTGTAGACCTGTTAAATGGCAAAATTTTACTAGACTGTGGACTGCTAACTAGGAAACAAGCAAGAATATATCCCCACTTACACTTCAAGTATACGGTTTTCAGTCTTACATCATTCTCGTTTTGAACAGTCGTCCTCCTGTCCTGGCGCAATTATTCATGTGAATCCACACCAAAGGGGGGAGCATTGGACTCGAGTTTCGCTGTTGTTAGAGCTCATCAGCAGTGCACATCCAGTGGCCGTGTCGGGGTTTGAAATCCGGACACCTGACATGCGAGGCGAGCGTGTTACCACTATTCCACCAGCGTATGTTGGGCGCATCTGAATTCTCACATCTGAACGGGCGAACGTGATCGCACTTGAGCGATGTGATTAGTATGCCTGACACATCATCGATACGACGACCCAGTAACTGTCCTGGTTGTGACGATCGACTGGCCCGCTTGTCAGGACTTCCCAGTCAGGTAGCGCCACAGAGGCTTGAAACCCGCAACCCCCCCCACATGCATATACGCTTTTCATCCTGTGATATGCATTTGGCTAGTTCTCTGACCAACTACTTTCCTCTCAAACTCCAACGTGATACGTGAAATGCCTCTTTTAACCAGGTTACATGTAGTTTGAACAAAAACGCACTTAAAGCAAACAATAAAATGTGGTTGAAAAGAATTTGCAGGGCTGCCTACATTTCTCTCTTCAAGCCAATTGCTGACTGACCACAAATGGGCATATTTTGTAGAAGGGACGCATTCAGTCAACGAGCAGTCGACAAGGGACGAAAAGGGTTGCCTACCCATGCTGACATACTCCAAAGTGAATATCGCCTTTTGTGTTAGCTCGCCCCCTACGGAAGGCTTCGTAGGTAGTGAAGACAATTACTATAGCCGTAAAACTGATATTCAACAGAATACATCAGCACCTTAACAGAATAGCATTTTCACTCCTGCTGCGACTAAAGTGCGTTCAAGCTGAGTGCAATACATATCAAAAAAGGAGGTTATTTCTCAACTCATTATTTCCAAATACATCGAGAACAAGGCTGTCTGAATTATTCGCTGCGTTCATGGCTAGAATGGCCGTAAAAACAAAAGTTAGAACATGCATCGGACCAGTAACTGGTTAAAGTTTTAGGAATTATTATATACCCATTGTTATTATTAGTACTAACGTTAATAATACATAGTTCTTCTCTTCACACGAAAACTTCTAGGATCATTGAAGCCTTGTTGAATCTTAAGACCATTATCAGTCCACACAGCGGCTCGAATCACGGGCCATTTATGATTCAACCACCCGCACCCCTCGCCGCCGGAATAGGCCAAAAATGTCGTTTGGTCTGATTATCTGATGTGCATCTGGGTGTTCATACCCTTCCAGAATCTTTATGCCGCAGACCTTACAGATGTTCACTGGGCCAACTGTTTGCGCTGTTTGTGTGATAAAGCTCAGTAGTTCATAGGCACTAGAATCAGTGTCCTGCTCTTTTCTGTCACATCTAAATTCAATCATTATGTCTAGTTTTCGAGCATCAGAGGAATAAATCCCCTTTAAACCTTTGGGCTTAACGGGTTCTGTGATAAAGTGCATAAGAACCACTTGTAGAAATAGTTCGCTGCTACTCCATGTTCGTCACGGTTGGTTATTTTATCATATAGCTGAAATATTGTGCTGAAGCGACAGCCTGCGATTACCTACTCGCTCCCACAGGTCGTTATACAAGTACGGCGCAAAATGCTTGCACGCAGAAAAATGCCTTTTGCTCCACGAAATAATTTTCTTCCGGCTTTTACACGATTATTTAATGGATTCTCACTTAAAACGGACCTTCCCTTGAAAGAGAGAGCTTCTGCTCTGCTATTTCTGGAAATCCTTCCTAGAGAAATTCACTATAAATAGGGGAAATGTTACCACAGTGCGCAACTCCCAAAAGCTCCACCGATTTTCGTCACCTGTGGTGTCAAGAAGCAGTACTAAGTCTCAGGGATTCTGTTGGGAGGCTACAGTAAAGGCTGTGTCCCCGTATGATTTGGAGATATGGCGTATGGGGGCAGGTGATCTGAGGCTTCCTCAGGCTTTCGCTAGCGTAGGATGGATTCAAGAAATTCTTAACAAGGTAATCAGAAAACAGATATTTGGTTGACCACTTCAGTCGACGAAAACGTCCAGCACCGTCAAATGCGTCCTACCGAGATAAGTACTTGCCCCCTTCAGAACACAAACTGCGATGTGGGGCATGAAAGAGTTGGGAAAAAGGCTAAATGTTGTTTGTGCATTTAGCCTTTCAGGATGAGACACCCGTAACCCTTATCGCGCTTAGCTAAAAGCACTGCAATACATAGTGGTTACTTGATTTCAGTAGTTCTGTTGTCATTGGGAGAGCGCTGGGAGATGCAGGCACTCCAGAATACTTGCGGTAGGCTAGCACAAGGTGCTTGAACACACCGCGCGACTAGTCACTCGGGTGACGGTGCAATCAATCGACCCACTATACAATTCGCAAAGGTGACTTTACTTCATGACGCCTGACATCATGAGGAAACAAAGTTATCAGTTGTTTCATTGGTTCTGCACGAAGTAAAGTATGCGTTCCAATTACTGCTTTAACATTAGGATCATTGGCTTTCCTGAAGACCCTTGCTGAACGGAAGGGTTGAAGGCACCTCCTGGAGCCTTCAAAAGAACTCTAGAACTAGTAGCTTATTCTAAAACTTAAAAAATCTGGACTGGTCCTAACGTTACTATCTTGCGTGACAACCAAAGCAAAAGTAGTGTATGTTAATTAATTGCTCCCAGGATGGGGCATCGAAACTGGTAAACTATTATTGTGACGGAATTACTTTTAGTCACCCTGCAACGTGTACATTGTGCATGGAGGTTGTTGTTGCTACTAACCACTGTTGTTATTCTTACTATCTACTACTTACTATCTACTCTATTACTACTACTCTATAATATTTGGTCACCAGGCGTGCTTTTTTAGTTTGTCCGTGTTCACCATCAATCTGTAGGTAGCTCAGAGGAAGAATAATTTTACAAGGCGAGTGAAACTCCTATCGCAGATTCGTAACTCGAGAAGGTAGTCAGTACTTGACCGCGTGATGCGGTATTGGTGACTGAAGAATAAGTAGCGAGCTAGTCACAATGGTGATAAGCCACCCGTGACCGAACGAATAGCTGTCCGGTTAAGTGATCGCGGTTTTGAAACCCTCTTGAGTTTCATGAGATATGCACTATTGATAATTACCAACAAAGATGAAACATCTTTTTGGTTATTCTAGGTTTTTCATCATAGATTAGTTTTGCTTACAGAAAGAATGTTTAAAATGAATGAATGTTTAAAATTATCAAATATCTTCACACCATCATCAATAGGTTCACTTTATTAAACCAATTTTTTTCGCAAAATGATGTTTTTGTTTTCAGTGCATATCAAAATAATACTGCATAAAATTAGGCCATCGGTGCTCTTAGTGTTCTCACAGTTTAAGGCGTAGCAATGGGGCGTTGCCCGAAACTCCAAGAAAATCCAAATTGCGCAGGATTCCAGAGGTAAATTTGTCTTTGGTAAAGAGCATTTCTAAAAATGACTTTGGCATAACAGCCTCTATCATACGATTTACTAGTCTTAAGGAGTTGGTTTTGGTTCAACTGGGTGCAGTTTGGTAAAGTGGCTAGTTCAAAGTTACCCTTTGTCTTTGCACAACAAAGATTATGCAATAAGTGCACATACCTGACCAGCAGTTTTTTCGATTTTTAGTCAGAATGTACCTGCTACATTTACCAGTGTAGGCTCTCACCTGAGTGTTCCGTAGCTTCTTCTTCCTTAAACGTGTCTGCCATGTCCCATACGGTTGCCATTGCAGCACGCTCATGGGTAATGATACGTATTGTCTGGACAGACTTGGAAATCACAGGATTATTGGATGTATTCATTCCACGTTCCATGTATCGGTCGTTTCCAGCTCTGGCTGCAAGTAACTAGATATACATAAAAAGTGTACACACCTTGGGGGTTAATCGTGAAAAAGGTTATACAGTTCACAACTTATGGCCATTATGAAACATTCAAGCTTCTATAAAGGCTTTGGTAAGAATTTTCCGAACGTCAGTAATCTAATCAGTCCTGGAGGAATTGTATCTTCATCCAGTTTGCATTGATCCACTTAAAGCGAAGAATGGGGTTGGGTGAGTGGACATGTTCACGCATTCACTCATTCTAAGACTGTTCTAAGTTAGGTTTCCGGGTGCCACCAGACGGATGTTTTCATATTCGATTTACTCTGTTATATCATTGTTATATCCGCCAAGGTTTTTTCAAGGGACTACCCTCTCAAAGACGATCTGCTCTAGTCTGTTGCTGGTTACCACCACTAACATAAAATACATGGGACGCTGCAATTTGAACCCAATATCCTGGTTGATTTTGTAGCTTCATAATCCATCCATTCAGTTTAATGTGATGTGCCGGCGTCGACTGAGAGTGGCTTTTAGTTCGACTGACTTAAAAGCCTACTCAATGCATCAGTGCAACCACTGCAATACATATGCGACACCCTTCAAGAAAAATATTCAACAAATATTTTGACAGTCATTGTGGTTAAACGTCACCTTCATCACTGACAGCAACACTGTAGAATAACGCTGGCGCTTTACTGCCGTACGACCACGTTAGTTTGTCTCAACAAAGCCTTAGAATGCAGGGAAGAAAGAATGGAGTGAGGGAAGGAAGCTGGGGCAAGCCCACAACAAAACTCCGAGGTGGCCACACCTACAACACTCAGTCAAAGGATCTAGATAGAAACTGACAGTTGGAAGGCTACTGACATTGGTTATCGGCCATATTGTTCAGGATTGCCACTCACGCGCAAGGAGGATCATCCGTGTCCCATCCTGGAAGGTGAACAGCACCCAAACTTTTCGTAACATCTTCATTCCCTTCTTCCATGTCCAGCAGTGTCTCTAGGTTCCGGCCATTCCGAATCGGACACGAAAAACAGCTCCTATCTTGGTAGGCGATAACTTGGTATGCATAAAACACTTCCCAGCCAAATTATCTCGGCTGGGCCTATTATTTGAGTGAGTATCGTCTACTTTACCCAAAAACCGTCTGCTGGTCATTTCATTCCGAATGTAATGGCTCCAGCTAACTCCGGGCACCACTGGTCAAAGACCTGAAGAATCCTTCGACCGTGCACTTGAAATGGCCAAGTTTCGCAGCCCAAAGTGTAGTCTGATATACATGTTTTCGAGACCAAGTGAGATACCTTTAGATGCAAAAGGTAGAGCCAATTGGCGAACGCAGTTCTGGCCCTTGGGGTTTGTACGTTCACTTCGCCTGTCACACTCCTCGTAGGGCAAATACGACTTCCGAGATGTGCACATTGTCCCACAACCTCCATTGTCACTCCTTGAATTCTCAGGGGTAGCTTGGCTTATCAACGTGTGGACACAAAACGCATACCAAAGGACTAGATGACCTTGGTCGGCTTTTAAAGTAAAGATTGAGTTTCCTGATTTTTCTAAAAATGATAACAATGTTTTATGCATATTCCAGGTCTACAGGGTTCTTGCTCGGGAGAACTGGACTCCGTGGTGTACGCCTCATCATCTAATTAATGATGGAATTAGACAGAAATTGAAGGAGTGAGCATCGCTGCTAGAAATCACTGTTGGTATGAAAGCTTTTGAAGTGCTCTTCATACACTCACACACCCACAAGTATGTGGATAAAGACAGTACATAATATTCACAAAATTACTGGATATACCTTGTTGTGCAGGCTTGTTGGAAAAAACTAGCCAGTTGGCGGAATTGAACGTATTTTTGTAGCCAAGGGAGACTAAAATTGTGGGGCATCCATAAGCATGTAACTATTCCACTACTTGACAATATGTGAAGGCCCGGTCCACCAAGCTCTTTCAAAGCTGGAATCCTGTTTTCTCTTTGCAGACCCCGTCTTCACGTGCTCTCCTGAGGCAGCGTGAAATAAGCTATGCAGAGTGTAACCACAACAGAGGGTCAGTGATTTCCACACTCACTACGAGCCCTCCTTCTTAAAAAGGATAGCATCAGCGATGAATCCCAGTTGGTTGGGTTGGTCTGTTTCACCCAGGTAGAGTCAAATAAGTTCGAGAAACACCGACTGAGTATTTCGCCTGTGTTTTTAACGGAACCGGTGAGAAGTCGTCAGGACCAGAAGCTCGGTGGCTCCTGAAATTAAAAAAGGACAACCCCTCACTTCTGAAGCCACCCATGACTGCATTACTGGTTGGCAAATCGAGTGAGAAACTGCAGGCGGCCAGTTAAGTTATTATTGAATGTTCATCCTAAAAATTCAGATACACTTCTTTTTTGGAGGTCATCAGTGATCGTTATGATAGCCAGAGGCTTCCTTGGCCTTCTTGCGCGATTCATCTCGAACATTCTACGGACACTTCCAGAGGTTGTGACTTCCTTCATCTAAGGTTTCCAAACCAACCAGGCCTTGGTTGTTGATCAGGTGGCTGTTGATTTGTTCGCCGAGCTTGGCAATTGGCTTGCAAACGTTTCGTCACCATACGAGGAGACATCATCAGTGCGCAGTTGATTTCTTGCCTGCGTGCGCTTATATAGCATTCGAGGGCTATCTGTTATCTTCTGACGTGATTGGTTGATTCTGATTGATTCTGACGTGATTGACTTCAACAAATTACCAACCAGGCCTATTGATCCGTTCAGATGCTTTTTTACCTGATCTCTGATATCTCGTTGAGGGTTATTGTACTCTTATTCAGGAGGAATATGTGTCCGTACTTCCAGCAATTTTAGAATACTGCCGGATATCTAGTGCTTAGATAAACCCGTAGTCATTACCACCACAGCATGCGTTCACTTTTGTTCGTGTTTCTCGATTCCAGTCCAAGACAAGCAGTCAACAACAGACACATCCGCAGTGCTGTCTGCCTGTTTTCGAGTTTATATCTCCGACAGTCACTACAGTATCCAAGCGCTTAGTCTACCAACACAAGGCCCTCAAAGCGTCGTAAAAGCTCTCTGCCGGTACAAAAGCTGCAGTCTGTTGCGGATAAGCAGTTAAAATGAGCAAAAAGCGTTTTCCGGGACACTTTCAGGTACTGCTTAAAGAACCACAGAGAGATGACTGTCGATGAAAAACCGTTTCACCAGGGACTTTTCAGCTCGGTGGACTAAAAGAATGGTAAACCAGGTTGAACCGGCCTCAGTGGCTTCTAAGTCACCAGATGTGCGTAACGGAAACCGGTGGCTGTGTCAGTTAAACAACCGTACTTCGGTGGTGGGTCCTCGTACCAAAAACAGACGGCATACACAAACGAAAGATCAACTCATCTTGCATGCATGAACAGCTAGTTTTCCGGCTTGTTTCCGAGTGCGAATGTTAAAGGTTGCCAGATGAAATGAACGGGGGCTCAAAACCGTCACACCGGAATATCCTATTGCATTCTCGTGCTTCAGTGCCAACGCAAATGAAAAATATTATTTTAGCCATGTGGTCCAATTCAACCCAAAATTTCACTCTCAGGTTCAGGATACTGAAATCGTATATAAGTTTTAGTTTTATAACAGAAGGGATTTTTTTATTCATGGCAAGAGTCCTCCCATATGGAAGAAAGTCCAAAAATTTCGGTGATACTCAAATGTACCGAAGTATTCCAGGTTTGGACACGCTTAAGGATGTATAAAGAGAGTGAATGTATCGAAAATGATAGATTGATCCGTGAAAACATTGCACCGCCTACCTCTCCTCCACCTATTCCCCTGTTAATACCCTGAATGTCTTGAATGGTTTTACTGTCTTTTTTCCTAGCATGTATAGGTTGTAAGCAGGGTATTATCCAACTCTCTGTTTCCACCTGCACGGACGAGAAGCGAATGAATTTGGTTTTCGTCGAGCATTTCAACTTATTCAGCTGAGTGGAAATTTGAACGCTTCCAGACGTTGACCCATCTGGTTTACAGAAATGACCAATTTTCGGAATCACTGAACGTGATCACCCACCAGGGTTGCGCACACCCCAGCGTAGTTTGCAGTGCCAATTTCGACATATCGTTTAGCTACTCATGAGTAGCAAACAATTAGTCATTATCGTTCAAACCGGGATCGATTTCAATGTACGTCAAGAAAAATGAGGATATTATCGTTCACTTATGTTTTCATTTCACTTCAGGGGAGTTCTCTCCACTGTTGGAAAAACATGACATACTCAGCCGCACCAGGTTACATCATTAGAAACGGGAATTACTCAACTGTCACCAAAACGATTAGAATACTTATGCACACTCAACTGCCTTGTACGCTGCAGTGCGTTTGGTTTGTTGTTGTGCGTCATCGGCGTCTTGTGACGTAACTGTTGGGGCGCGATCAAATATCCAGAATGTGTCAGTTTCAGCGATTTTAACATCCACCAACTTGTTCAAATCGGCTTCCGACAAAACCTCTCTTTGCGGCTGGGCCAGCGTTTTGACCTCTAGGGAGAGAAAAACCCACAGAAGAAGATATTGTTTCAGTTTTCATTCATCACATGCAGAATTTATGCTGCAACCCAAATGCGATGTTCTGTACAGTTGGGAACAAAACATGAAGTCTGTCACAGTGGGCAAACAGTGGGGTGCAACGGTGTATATCAATACTAAGTAGTGACAAATAGTCAAAATGTGCCTAAATTAAACCTGCTGTATGGCTAGTTTATGGATGGGACAGTCTTGTATATGGAATAGAGGAGTAAGTGACCTTCTAATTGAAAGACTAGGAATGAACGGACACACACACAGTGGTGAAGAATTTTTTGTGACTAAACAGGAACCACCGTCTTGATGCTGGTTTATGTTTTTTGACTCTGGGTTCATAATTTCTGGTGCTCCATTAAAACTGCCATATATATATATATAT